GGTTTTGATAGTGTATGTTATTTGTGTTAATATATTTAAGTAATTTTTTTTAAAAAATAAACGGGTTGTTGCAGGTGAAAAATGGTTCAGTGCGTCGGACAATTCATGGGGATTAATTGACTTTATGTCGCTGCCTGATCTGAAAGATAAAACGAAGGGATACTACATGAATGATACTGTCATTCTTGAATGCCAGATTTCGTTCATAAGTGAAGCTGAACTTTTAGAGGTTTGAGAATTGAGAAGTGAAATGGGTGATAACTAATGAACTCATATTTTGGTGTTTGTTTTGGAAGCTATGTGACTAGAGGTAGAGGGTGTTATTATTATTGAAGCAAACTAAATTAGCAGTTGAATAATTCGCTATTCACACATTTGATACAAGATCTCTATGGTTAATAATTTTTATGATTAATTGTCTATATTTTGGGCAATAAATACTCAAATCATGCAAGTTGAAGAGTTAATGTGTGATGGTCTAGAATTTAATTAAAATTAAATCCGGTGGTAAGGTATCTTGATGATAATATCTATATATATATATATATATATATTGGTGTAGGCTTACCAAGGAAAGGAGCTAGTCCAATAGAGATTGTGTAGCGACCTTTTTAATGGGTCAAGAGTTCATGCCTTCACGAGAACTTGCGGATTTTTTTTTTTTTTATCTTCTTGCTTTATTTTTGTGTAAAATTACTAGAATGTCCTTCTATTAAAATAAAATAAAGTAAACATGATGAAAGTGGCAGAGTAAAAAGAATCGGGCAATTTCTTCTTCTTTATTCTCCATCTTCATTCTCCCGAAAGCTTCAGAGGCAGAGTGAACAAGCGAGCTTTGAATTTTCCTCTGCCTTCTTCCTCCGTTTGCTGTCATTGCTGGTGACGTAGGTGCACGGGAAAAAGAAAACTCCCACCTTCCTTGTGTCTCAGCGCATATCTGATTTCCTCCTCTGTTCGTCCCTTGCCGTGGTGGTCACCGTAGGGTTCTCTTTGAGGGGCAGCATCGCTGCTGTCCTGGTGACCGTGGAAGCTGTCGGACCTTTCTCCTCATCATTTGTGTGCCATCGTTCGAGTTCTTTTTGTTCAGCGCTCAGACTCTTCGTCTTTCCTCTTCCCCTGTTCTTCCTTGTTCGGCATCTCCTCCATGTTCGCACCACTAGCTTCTCCTCTTCCTTATTTCTACTATCGCTTATGTGAGTGGATGCCGAAATCAAAGAGTAGAGGGGGTTTAATCAAGTTGAAATATGAGCCAAGCATATGTTTGGTATGTAATTTTGCTTATGTACGTTAGTTACCGTGAGAGGGAGAATTTGAGTTAGTTTTCTTTGATCTTAAAATTTGATTCTTGGTGGGAGTTGTGTTTTAGAAAATCTGATAAATTTGAATATTGATGTTTGAAAATTTTTGGGTAGGAGATTTGAAGGTTAGGAACCTTGTGTTAGTGATTGTAAAGTGATGCATTCAAGATATTTGTTAAAATGTCTAAGAAAAAATCCTATCTCATATGAATAACTAACTATGGCTAAAGCTATATAGTGAAACTATGGTGTATAAATTATGGTGTTGTGGAATATTAAATTCTTGATAGTTTCATAGTCATCCTATCTGTGGTATGAGAGAAACATAGAGTTTAGGAAGAGAACTAACTTTAGTTAATAACTGTTACACAAGGGTCTAATGATTTTGTTTTGAAAAGTTGCTTGTATAGAAGTGAATTATTTTCTACTTTGAGACTTGAAATTTGTGAATATTGATTAGATATTTTTGGAGATCTATGAATTAAATTCACCTTGACATATTATATGTGAAAGATAAGGTTGAGAATTTTTTTTATATATGCTTGATGGATTGTTATATGGAAAATAGTATAAATCCAATACTGTATTCTATTTGTGAAAAATTTATATTAAATATTTTATTTTTAATGTGACATAGACTTGGGATGGGGATGTGCCTTTTGGATTGATGAATACTAACTTCAAGTAATTTAAAGAGTTTGAGTTTATACTCGGTTAAAGCGTATGTAAAAAAACAATGCTGCTACATTGGGTATTAGAGAATTAAGGAGCAACCATATTATGTAAGCAGCAATTGACTTGGAGTAAGTTATGTCTTTGGGAATCTATGAGGTTAGTGGATAGCATCCCAACTGATTTATCATTGAAACTTTTTTTTTTCAGGATATTTGTTCATAAATCATTCAATAACAATTATTACATATTTGATACTTTGTTAATTAAATTATTTTATTTTTTTATCTTGAGAAATTATAAAAAGATGTTGAAAGATATTTGAAATATGGCATGTGTATGTGTTCTTTTTTTCCTTACGAAGGATACTTTTAAAAGTGATGAAATTATTTTTATCAACTCTTGTTATTTTTGGTTACTCAATAAATGCCAAACGTGGGCATTAATTACGAAATTTTATTTTGACAAAGTTGTTAATGTTCAAAGTTTTTCATGTGAGTTTGATTTTAAAAATGAGAATTGTATTTTTATAGTGATAATTTTCTCGCATGTTTGAAAATGAATCTGAAGGAAATTTTATACAGGACACTGAATGACAGTTCTTTTAGTTCTTGGCTCACCATGGTTATGACTAGCTAGTTTGACTTTCATGAGCATCGCACTCATGTTTGTTATTTGTAAGTCTTGTATCTGCATTTGTTTTCATGGTTTTAAGTTGCGTTTGGTTAGCATTACCCTCATAGGCTGTGTGTTCACGTTTGTGAATTGTTCTAACAGATCTCCAAAAATATAATTTTTTTAATTAATTGGTGATTTCACATTTAATGGTTCTCAATTAGTAAATATTATTATTATTCTTATTTATTATTTAATTAATTTGATTTATCAAGATCAAATGTTAAAGCTGCTTTGTCATTATAGATATAAATGTTCTTATCGTTGAAGTTATATGAAACTCTTATTTTAAGCTTACAAATTTGTTTACATTGAAATTGCTTTTTCATATAATTTATATAACTATTGTATTTTATTCATTTTGATTTTACAAAATGTTATAGTTGGAACGTTATTCATTGAAAAATTATTTTGGTCTTAGATAGCACAGTTGACGCTGTACATCATGCTTATCAATAATGAATTTTTGCTGAGTTGGGCAGAGATTTGTTCTGTAAATATTTTTTATTAATGTAAATATGAAATTTATAAATTATGTCATAAAAAATATGATTAGGTGTTCCGCATAAATTATAGTTAGGGTTCTTATTTTTTTATACATTTTATCTGTTGGCTGAAAAAAGCAGAGCTTCTAGTTATAGTGACTTTCTATTTGAGAATTTTATTGTATAGTTTTTTGGAGGTTCTATATAATAGAGAAATTTGGTCAAATTTTCTATGAAAATATTAAGATTTTTGTTTGAAGGAAAAACATTAAGAATGTTCTAAATTCAATACCAATATAACTACAGAAAAAAAAAAAAAGAAAATTGCATTGACTCCAGGTTTAAAGGATGTGTATTTGTATATATATATCTTGTGTTGGTCACTTTCGTGTTTCGAGATGTGACATAATGAGAAAAATATAAGTTAAGCTTCTAGCAAAGATCATATTCAGATACTATATACTGTCGAATTAGAACCAAGTAGCCATAGCGTTAACTGATAAAGGAAAAGCTCTTGGAAGAATGCATTTTATATATGGGAATGAGATAAAGCCGACTTCACAGTTGGCGCTCATAAAATGAATATATGAAATTCGACTCAGATTTAAAGAAAATTTCATACATTATTACTGAAGCATAGTGACGTGCAAGAGGAAAGAGGAGAGGGAAAGAGATAGAAGAGAGAAAAGAGGAAGAGAAAAACTGCATAACTTTGATTCAAATGTTAAAATTAAATACAGTTGAAAAACTCTAGAGTTATTTATAGAGCCCTAGAAGTAATAAAATAAAAATAATAATAAATTTAAATTTAAATCAAATCATAATATAAAAGATGAAAATAAGGTATTTAATTAGGCTAAATATTTTATTTTATTTGAGATAATACTTAAAAATAAAATAAATCTAAGATATTAAAAAAATAATAACAGTCTAGATACTAAATCAAATCTTAATAAACCTTAAATCAAATTAAATATAATTCTCATCGTGTAGAACCGTGAAAAATGGACTTTCAAGCGCAGTTAACATAATTTAATTAGCCACCGCGTGGATGGATACCATTTTCCCATCCAGTAGTGCAGATTCTCTTAGTCTGTGACTATATTTATGGATGGGTCATGGTATTTGATACAACCCAACTGATTTAGTGAGCTGAAACAGAGGAAATAACACAGCTGAGGCAAAATTTAAGGGAAACCGTGAGGTTTTAACATTAATAATAATATGAAGAACTGAATCAGAGCTACAAAAGACCTACCTGATTCACAATAAAACCCTATTCCCTGGTTACAATACAGAAATCATAATTATAAAGATATATCACAGCCACAAGCACAGATACACTCATTGGCTTTTGAGAGGCCAGTCCTCTACTTACCACATTCAAGATACAAAATACATCATTTACACCCTTCCCTCTACACAAAAGAACAGATTTAAAGAGCCAAAAATTGTTGATTGCCCCTACCAACACTATATACATCTTGGGCTACACCCAACCTAACTTGTCCTGAGCATTTAAGAGTATTTATGTCTTTCGAATAGCAGAAGTATGTATTTATTTGATTTGAATATATTTAATTTAAATATTTTTGTTTTTATTGTAAAAAAATTTCATTTTTAAATCCTTATTGTTAGTTTAAAATTATATGAACCTTGGAGACTGTTGGTGACGTTTTGTTCTCCTAAGAGGCTATTGTTAATGATCACCATAAATTATGTTGAATCACCTTCGTTCTCAAAGTCCTTCCTCGGGGATTGAATTACTAACATTCCAGGCATCGAAGAGACGCTTGTGGGTTCTTTACGCGCACACACGAGTATATATGAACTATGAAGTATGTCGTCTTATGAGTCTTCACACAAAATTGCGAAGAATAGTAAACTAAGATCCGTTCGGCAAGGAAAATACTAACGGTATACATCTAATACCAGCAACGTTTAAGTGATGCTACCGAATGTGGATATGGTACATAACGAATTCCTTTACAACGTTTGTGCAGGACTCATTCGATATGATAGACAACATGGACCAGCACACTACTTGATTAAGATAAAGTCATATTCAGCACTGGCTGGGCTCGAAAGCTACGAATCTCACGTGTTTGAAGCCAGTGGCTACAACTGGTGAATTCTGTCACTTTGTGCATTTATTTCGTTTAGAATATATTTTGTTTAATTCATTTGTTACTTAATAATCTCGATCTCTTTTCATCAGGAAGATGATTTTGTATCCTCATAGAAAGAATGAAGCCAAAAGGGATAGGCATATCTCACTTTACTTAGCAATAGCAAAAACTGAGGATCTCCCTGCTGGTTGCCAAGTGTTGGTTCATTTCAAATTTTTGGTTTATGATCAGATCCATGACAACTACTTGGTCATTGAAGGTATTATTACAATAATTACAATTTTTTGTTGGGATATTCATGGATTGATGACGTCAAAACCAATTCATTCGCACTAGTTCAATGAGGAGCTCATGAACCATTGAAATTTCAATACATGGATTGTATGTCTAATTAATTTTAACCAGACGAAATATTCTTTATTTTCAGATGAAGGAAAGCAGTTGAAACGTTTTCATGTGGCGAAGACAGAGTGGGGTTTTGATGAACTGGTTCCTACGGATACATTGGAAGATGTCGCTAATGGACATGTTGTTGATGATTTATGCGTGTTTGGAACTGAAATCTTCGTACACGAATATTGTGGGAATTGGGAATGTGTTTCCCCAGCGAGTAAGGATCCATCATTTGGTACATACACATGGAAGCTAACGAACTTCTCCAAAATTGGAACTGAATATTGTGACTCCGAATCATTCACTGTTGAAGGCGCAAAATGGTAGCGATGTGATTTCATTGTTTGCTTTGTTCTTTTTCTTTTTAATCATCAGAAATCTGCTGTTCTAATTCTTCAAATTTTCCTGTCGTGTGTTTTTAAGGAAATTGAGAGTTCATCCAAACGGCAGTAGGACTCCCAAATATGAGTTTCTTTCAATTTTTCTGGTTTTGAGTGAAGATGAAAGCACCACATCAAGAAAGAAATGGTATGTGGAGTACACGTTACGCATTAAGAATCAACAACCACCCTTGAAAAGTAAGGAACGGAACACCAGAACGTCAATTTGTGTACATAATTTCTATACTTTTCATTTGTGTTGGTTCCTGACATTTTAGTTTAGTTGATAGCTTATGGTTGTAACTACATCGATCTCCTTAAATCATTAATATTCTTTTAAAAAGAAATTTTCCAATTTTATATCATTTTATAAACATTTTTCTCCTATATGCAAAGTGAGGATCGGATCATCAATTACCTTTAGAATGTGACTTACAATGGCATATAGGAAAAAAAGGAAGTAGTATTTTGAATGATATTATAAGCTTAGTGTGTGTTGTTGAGAATAATAAGTCTTTTTTCATATTTAATTTTGAGGAAGTTAATTTATTTGTTCTGTGTTTCCTTGTTTTGCAGGTGGTAAGTGGTTCATTGGGAACTTTAGCTGGGGATACCCTCAGTTCATTTCGCTGGAGGAATTAAAAGATGCAACCAAGGTTTACTATCGGAATGATACTGTGATTATTGAATGCCACATTACAAAAATCTGTGAAGTTGAAAAATTCAGAAAATGAGAACTCGTATGTAGGATGCTTTTTGAACTGTGTTGTGCATGTATGTGTGTGTTTTTCTATTAAATCCGTCAGTGAATTCTTGAATCATTTTCGTCGGAAAAGTGGTTGCGCGTGTTAAGGTTGTCATGTAACCCTTCTTGATGCAAGTTGGAAAGAAATGGAAGTGAATTGTCTTGATATAATTTATATATTATTTATATATTAATAATTTTTTGAAAATTGTATATTAACGTTAATATTAATATTTACTACTTTTAACTTATCTCTCCCCCTCTCATTTATATTTTCCTCTCTGATTTACTTTTACCAGTGCATTTCTTGGTATACTGCCCATGATTAGTTGCTTAACTACAGCTCTCAACTTTCATCTGCCCGTGATTATTAATATGGGATGCATAATATTATTGCTGGAAAAAAAGAAAAAAGAAAAAAAGAGATAGCATAATATTAATATAACCATTCGTTGCATCTTCAATCTTCCAGCAATGTTAATTGAGAAAATCTCAAAACCCCCTGGATAGAATCTTAACAAAACCCTTGAGATAAAAATGTTTTTTTAGGAAGAATTACATTCAAGGATCCCTCAAGAAAATTATTTTCAGATGAAGATAAGTACAAAATAGATTACTGTTAAAATAAGAATGTGACTTGTTAGAATGAGACTTGGTAGTCCTTATCTGTGAATAATTTACTTGAGTAATCTTTGGTGTAATTTTCTCTTTTTTTATATTATTATACTGATATGTGGTTGAACGTTTCACTTTCTGCTTAATTTATTTGTTTTGGATTGGCAACCGAAAAGAAACTGATATCTGGCCAAGCAAATTTAACTAAATACTCTTTCACATGTCATCAATGATTTATGATTTCACACGTCATCAATGATAAATAAATATCACAAATATACTAATATTATTATTGATTTGATTTTTATGAGTGTTAATTTTATCTTTAAAATTAAAAAATAAAACTTTTGGAAGTATGGAGCTTGATTATTCCATTACTTTCAATTCCGATAGTGCCTTTTAACTAAAAAACAACAAAAATGTGTCTATTTATTTTGGTGAGTACAAGTACACTCCGATAAAAATAGAAATTATCTTCCTCGGGGATTAAAGGTAAATGATAAACTGCTTTCAATTAAGATGCTCTGTATCCAAGAATTAAAATTCGAATATCCAATCGCCTGCTTAATTAAATGATAGAATTCCTTACCAATCAAGTCAACTTGAGTCAATAATGGTGTCTATCATCCAAATTTCATAATAATTTAACTACATGCATATCTCATGATATCGTTGGATCATACCTTTTCAAATGATGGCCATTGACCACCATATGCATGAAAATTTCTAGTTTCCCAATAGCCCAGATTCACTGTACCACTTCAGGCCCAAAAATGGGGGGAAAAAAAAAAGATTCTCTGCACCGCACGTATTTGTGAAAATGTGTATAATAGTAAAAAGACAAAAGAAAATGTGTGAGCACATGTGTGTATTTCTTTAAGAATGCTCAGTATATTTCTATTTTTTTTTCAGCCTAGTATATATATTCCTACATATTTAAATAGTAGTATAGTATGCATTAAATTTAATATTTTTCTGTTTTTTTATTGAAATTTTCATTTTTTAATTGTTAGTTAAAAATTAATATATATATATATATATATATTTATAATGAATTATATTTTTCAAAAATAAAAAAATCAATAATCTTAACGGAACTTTTAGTTTTTGTTTTAATAAAAAGATCAATACTATTAGAGCCTGTTTGGTTGGGAGCCCCTCCAAATCCTCCCCCAAATTGGGGGATCCCTCCTCCCCTTGAAACCAAACGTAACATTAAAGAAAAACAAACGTTATATCATTAAAGTATTTACAAAATTTCAAGACAGAGGATAATAGAAAAGATAATCATCAAGAGATACATTGAAAATAATTGAACTAAAGGAACTAGCAAGCAATCTTGGGAATGTCCTGCGTCAAAGGTTGATGAAGATGATGTTTTGAAGATAGACCAATGCACAGTCTTCTTGAAAGCATTAAAATAACATGCTGTCTTGTCCTACACGGAATTCATCTCGTAAGTTCCATGATCCAGGCTAACACATTCCGAATACATAAAAGATTAAATCCGTCTGGATCTGTGTTGTTTGAACGTCTCCATATATAGCTGTGTAGATGATCTCCATTAACAAAAATCATAGTAAGGCAGAACTGTAAACCATGTGTTTTGTATTTTAATTTTCATTCTAACATTCGATTTGACGTGAGCAACTTCAGCAACAGTTCTGTTCAAAATCAATGTTGAAATGATGATGCAACAAAAGGTGGGTTCTGAAGAACTGGAGACCACTGACAAACTTCCATTAGATAGTAACTCAAGTGATGGAATTCTTCGATTACCTCTCCTGGAGGTTGTATGATAACACCTTTACGAAAAGCCAGATTCTGCTGTCTCCAAATTGATAACTCCTCTGAGTTGTTGGTGTCAGCCATTGTTATGTAACTCCAAAAAGTTGGATATTATCTAGTTAGATAGACCAACTTAATGGATAAGTCTCCAAACCAAATTGATCTTACATAATGACATCCCCAAAAGGATGGTTTGAGGACTCAAGGACTCAGACAACCAAAAACACAATGTGATTGGACATTTAAATGGTGATGTTGAAGAACATTACCAAGATATAAAAGTTGCTTTTGAGAGGCAATTTGATTTTCCAAAGAATGTTCCAAAAAAGGAGCATTTGCTACAAGTGATCTTTGACCAGAGAGATGCAAATAATCACTCTCACAATTAAAAAAATTAAAATTAATGACAAATATTTAGTTATTATAGGTATTAGTAACAAATTTTTGTGACGGATTGACAGATAAAAGGTGTCGTCACATTTTGATCAAACTTTATAAATTTAGTAAAAGATTTAAATCCATCATTAATTGCCATCACTAAATCTTTATATTAATGATAGATTAGTGATTGATATTGTCACGCCTCAAATAAAGGGTGACCAACACGGGTGTAAATCACTTTCATATTCCCATAAACCTTCAAATGAATATTTATTTTATTTTTCAAGAAATGCAAAATTCAATCAAATCATATGAGAATTTAAATAACTTCTTTAAATTCATTATCATAAGAGGGTGTCAACGTTTTTGTAAAAATTTCGGCAGAACCTCCCTTATAATTAGGATCTCCTGAAAATTCTACAATAAAAATTTTTACAATAACAGTATAATTCAGGAGCATAGCTCCTTCCAGCCAGCTATCAATATACAAACCAAAAATAAAATTCATCAACAACCTATGTGGAGCATCCGCTACTGCTTTCAAATCAAAAAGACATACAGATTATATATTTACATTAAAGCAACAATACTAATCAAAATATCCACCCTCTGTAGCTAGTTGCCCTTTTTGAGGTCGTTGGTGGGATCAGCGTCAGCTAACAAATCTGAGGCCAAAATAATTTTTTCAGTGAATAGCATTCCCATAAAAAAAATTTCTTAAAATTTTAATCAATAATTTCTAATAATAGTGCCAGCTAGTTAAAAGCAATTCTATCAAAATTTATAAACATGTAAGTCATAACCATATGTATAAAATAAGAGTAAATTGAAAACAATTTATGTTATCATGTTTAAAGAAAATGATCTGCTCTCATATAACTCAAGTGATACAAATTACTAGTTAAAATCAAGTAAATTTTGAAAACACATAACACTTAACATTTAAAATTTTGAGAACTCAACAGAACAGATTACAAATGTGGACACTCAGTCCATGAGGGTAAATAACCAAACGCGGCTTATGCCACGAAAATAAACGTGGACACACCAGTTCACGAGGGTAAGTAACCAAATGCAGCCATAGTTACGGAACAAACGTGGACACACAGCCCACAAGGGTAAATAATCAAACGTGGCTTATGCCACGAAATCAAACGTGGGTACGAAGCCCACGAATACCAAACGTGAGATTAAAACTCATGAAACAAACTAGCTAGTGTTTAACCACAGCGCGCTACAGACTAACGGAACTGCCGTTAGTAGCAGTGTTTTGTATAGAGTTCTCTTAGAAATTCCGTTTCAAACATGCGAGAGAAATAATTATTTGTGAAGTCAAATTTTCATTCTCAAGGTCAAACTCGCATGAATTGCTTTAAATATATGAAGTTTGTCAAATTGATACACCATAACGAATGTACAAATTTGCACTAATCATGAAATCAAGAAATTTTGAAAATTTCATAGGCAAAGGTGCCTTCATCAATATAAAAATATATTCTTGAAAATTGCACAATTCATAATATGACTATTCTTCATCATTATTTCAAAATTTCTAAAACTAACATAATTCATAAAAAAATGAAATATTTTAATCAAAGATTTTCAATGAATGCTCATAAGGAATACTATTCACTTACCTGTTAAAGTTCTAAACTCCCGAAAGTATTCTTCTTTTAAGTCTTTTCAGGGTCTTGTTCTTCCACACACCCTATAAAATATAAATATATATAATTTTAATAACTTTTTAATTTATAACACAACCTTTACTAACCACCATTAAAATCTCAAAACCCAAATTTATAATTTAAAGTTAATTCAAGCATTATCATTAATTTCTCTTACTTTCTTCATAAAACTTTAACCATGCCATACTATTTCTTTGGAATAAGAGTTTTCTCCCAATCTTTGCATCATTTACCTTAGGTGCATTACTTCTATCTTTTCAATTTTAAGCCTTTAACCATTCACAAAAAATCAAACAAACTCTAAATATACACATGATTGTGTGCAAGCCCATAATTAAATTCCTTTACAAAGCTACAAGAGAATTTCTAAACCAATAATTCCCATCAATAATTAGAAGTCAATTTTTTTTTATTTCCTCATACAAGCCCTTCAATGACATCTCGTAAGTACTAACAATATATCCAAGCTTATCTCTTTCAATTTCAGTCCAGATTTTTTTTTCAGTCATGGCAGCAGTAAAGCACACATAGATTCCTAGTTTCTGTAATACCCCCAGCTACTCACACGCCCATATTTATGAGGAAAAAGGAAGAGATTGAAGCTTCTAACCTCCAATGAATCAACACGCACGGACAGAGGAAGGAGGACGATGATGAACAGTGAAGAAAACTGCCGCCATGAATGAAGAAGAATAAGTTCAGCAATAAACAGAAAATGAACCCAAAAGGAAGAGATCTTTGTTCACCCAAATCTGTTATACCCACACGAACCAGAAGCTAAGAGAAAGAAAAACTTTTCATTCTTGAATCAGCAGCAGAGGTGGACGGATGAACAGCAAGAACTTGAAAAAAATCACAGCTGAGGTGAGCAAATAAGCAGAGCTTCAACGGCGGCTACACGAACGATGTTGCTGGCTTCGGTGGAGGAGGAAGAAGGTAGCTTCAGTTGAGAGGCAGAGCAAAACGTCGGTGCTCTCAAAGCTCTTTCTCTGGTCCAGATCCATCGAGAAAGAAGAAAGAAAGAGTTTTAAAAAAAAATCTGATGAAACCAATGGCAATATGGTAATTTTGCATGACCAGAAAAATAAAAAAAAATTCAACCCTTCTTTTGTACTCATCCGGATTCAAACCGGGGACGTGTTATATAAAGCCTTCCTCAACTGCCACTTGACTAAGTCTCTAACTTGTTATATTTATCCCAAAAACTAATATAAACACAGTTTAAGTAAATTATCCTATATGTATATATATATATATTTATTCAATTTAAATTTTGTTGGGGTTATTACAGATATGTTTAATTAAAAATTAATAAAATGTGCTTAAATATTATATAAAAATAAAAAAAATTATATTTATAATATTCATTGAGAGAATTACATGAATAAAATATTAATAATTACTAAATTAAATAATTGCACAAATAATTTTTTTCTCTTATTATAATTAAAATATATAATATAAGATAATATAGAAAGAATAAAAAATATTTTTATTATGTAAATTTAAATATATAAATAAAAATTTTATGATATAAAAATATTTTAATTATAGCATAGATAATATAAAATGATATAAACAAATATTTATTTTTAATATATACATATGTATGTATGTATGTATGTATGTATGTATATTGATATTAAATAATATGTATTATCAATATATTTAAATAATAATATATTAAATATATTAATAAATACATTAAGTTAAGTATAAGTGTTTAATTAAATAGTATGTTAAATTTATGTATTAAGAATGAAAAGACATTATAGTTCAACTGGCAAAACATGCTCGTGTTGAGTTTAAGACAAAATAATGTCATGAGTAAAGAGAATTAAAATAAATTTTTAACATGACAAGTGATGTGACTTAGAGATCCAAGTGATGATGGTGTGGCGGGGGTAATGTGTACTAGAGATATGCATTGGGAAGGTGACTGTAATAACCCTGTAAAAAAATAATAAAATAAAATAAAAAAATTATTAATTAAAATTTATAATCAAGTATCTTAAGTGTACTTTTATATAGTTTTGGAGTGATACAATAAAAGAGACTAGTGGTCTAGTGGAAATGTTGCTTCCATCCTATCATAAGGTTACAAGATTGAATCTTCCTCCTGCACAAGGAATCATTTATTTTTCAACCTTACGAAATTACCTTTATACCCCTTAAAGAAAACCTAGAGGGGACCATGTATATCAAATATTTTCCTTCCCTTCCTGATTTTTTTGTGTGATCAGAAGGAGAAAAAGGGGGCAAACAGATCTGAACCCGGTCATCAACTCCTCTATTCGTCCTCTTCTTTCACCACTCTTCCTTCGTCTCCATCTTGTCACCGGCATGAGTGGATGCTGGAGATTCATCCACGCTGCTACTGCTGGAGGTTTGGGATGTGAGATCACCTTTCTCCTCCCCTGTTTCATGTGGCCGGATTTTCCTCCTCCTCTCTATTCGAAGCCTTATTGATGAGGATGTGGGAGCTTCGATTTTCTTCCATCATCCCTCCTTGGCTATGCTTGGGGTATGGAGGAAGAGAAAATTTGATAGAAGTTGTAAGGAGTAAATTTTAGAATTTGGGAACATTTCAGGTAAGTGGATAGCATTCAACTGCTTTACCCATAAAATTAGTTTTCTAAAATATTATATTTATGTAAATTATTTTAATAACAACTATGTTAATCATTGAATATTTTGTTATTAATTTTTTTTATCTTGGAAAATTATAAAGAGATGTCAAAAGATATTTAAATTATGGCATGCGAGTATGTTTTTCTTTACGAAGAATACTTTAAAAATTGATGAAATTATTTCTATCAACTCTTGTTATTTTTGGGTACTCAATAAATGTCAAAGATGGACACTAGTTATGAAATTTTATTTTGAAAAAAGTTTTTAATGTTCAAAGCTATTCATGCGAATTTAACTTTAAAAATAGGAACTACATTTTTATAGTGATGATTTTCTCGCATGTTTGAAAATGAATTTGAAAGGGATATTATATAGAACATTAGTTGCTAATGGAAATTCCGTTAGCCCTTAGCGCGCCATGATCAAAGATTAGCTAGTTTGATTTTCGTGAGCTCTGTTATCATGTTTGATATTCATGGTTTTATTACCTGCGTTTGTTTTCATGGTTTCAAGCCGTGTTTGGTTAGCAATACCTTCATAGATTGTGTGGCCATGTTTGTTTCATAGCTCAGGCTGTGTTTAATTACTTACCCTCATAGACTGTGTGTCCACATTTGTCTTCGTGGCATAAGCCGTGTTTGGTTATTTACCCTTGTGGACTGTGTGTCCACATTTGTGAATTATTCTGATAAATCTCCAAATATATAAATTTTTAATTAATTGGTGATTTCATATTTAATGGTTTTCAATTAGTAAATATTGTTATTCTTATTTATTATTTAATCACTTTGATTTATCAAAATCAAATGTTAAAGCTGTTTTGTTATTATAAATATAAAAGTTCTTGTTGTTTAAATTATATAGAACTTTTATTCAAAGTTTACAAATTTGTTTACACTGAATTGCTTTCTCATTTAATTTGTATGACTATTGTATTTTATTCATTTTGATTCTACAAAATGTTATAGTTGGGACATTATTCAACTGAAAAAATATTTTGGCCTCAGATAATAGCAAGACTTGAATCTTCTATTTGATCATTGATGGAATTTATTGCTTCATTGAAGTGGAAGAAGTTTTTTGGACAAATCTCAACTTGATTTAAATGTGAGTTTATGCATTATTTTTATAATTTGCTTTATGTGCTTCACATTAACTATAGATAGAATCCTGAATTGTAATTTATGTTGTCTGTTTGTTATGGAGAAGTTGAGCTCAATATTAATGATTTGGTTCTGTAAATGGTTGTTGCGGAGAATTTAAGAGGACTTATTTATAGAGGAGGTTTTGCTAAAATTTCTATAAAAGAAAGCTTAAGGGATGTATGTTTTTACATATATCTTGTGTTAGTCATATCTAATTTTTGGGGTGTGACAGTGACATGGCAATGTTTGGACCCGCAAAAAATTTTAAAATTTTTTTGATTATAAAACAAATTAGTGATGAACATTTATTAATTAGTTACACATTTTTTGTAACTAAATTAGTGATGGATTCACGTCTATTACTAAATTAATGATGTCATATTTATGACGGAAATTAGTGATAGACGATACATTATTAAAGGTAAAATTAGTGATAGATTTTACTGATTGATGATGATTTTATCCATAACTTATTTCATTTTTTTCTAGTAGTATCTTCACAGTATAACAATCTTCATTGTTTCCTTTCCAAATCAATTTATCAGAACTAGCTAGGATACAAAAGCAAACAAATATTTTCAATAGCTTGTGCCTCATTCTGTCCATACAGCTATAATAACAAATTATAACATAGAACGGGTTGTTATCTAGATTTTGTGATACCATTTCAAAAAAAAAAATTTAATTCATGTGCTTTCTAAATTTGGTTTTAATTTTTAAATAACTTAAACTGTTTTCTACCTTCTAAAATAATTTTCTAAAATATTAAATAGGATGGTTGTTATCTAATTTTTTTGACATTATTTTAACACATTATTTATATTTTAATGAGTTTAATTTAAAAATAGAGAAATGAGATCAAATGTTTTAAATTGATTTTCCTTATATCTTTCTTTTAAATTTTCTCTCTACTAAAATTCCGTAACCCTATTTATTCCTTTTTAAAGTATATATAATTCATTAAATTATAATATACATGCATGATGCATGCGTGCGCACATATTATTTCCTAGATTTTTTTGAAAGCTAAATTGAGAGGATTTCAATTAAAAAATTCATTTATGTTAACATTTAAAATTATTTAAATGTTAACATCTATGCACAATACGCATGACTTTACACATTCATTCTCATGTTAAATAATTAAATGAAAAATAATTATATACATATTAAATCTATACCTTCACTATTATTATATTTTAATTATTTTAATAATTTTGATAAAAACATTCTTTTAAGGATTAAATATAAATAAGTTTTATTGAAAAATATTTCAATAAAACTTTTATTTTATAGCAGCCTTGAAATAAATAAGTTTGAGTTAAATTAGATGTTACCCTTATGTATGCACAAATTAAGTTTGAAATAAATAACACCATTTATAAATGATATGCTTTTACATAATTTCTATATTGAGTACTATATTATTTTATTAGAATTTGACTTGCATTTTCTTTTCTTTCATTTCCTTCAAAATATATATGCTACAAATTAAAAAAAAAAGCTACTTATTTAAATGTTTACTGTGAATCAAAATTAATGAAACGTCACGATCTAACAAGAATTCTTAATACGTATTCAATTAGAACAACCCAGCTTCAATCTAAGCCCATTTGGCTAAAAGGGACATTAAACCAGCACCTAATAGCACACAAATATTTGCTCCAAATTGAAGATGAGAACTATTTTGCATTCTATCGGACATGAAATCAGCGGCTAAAAAATCAACGAGAGCCATATAGATTAAGATTCCTGCTGATGCTGCATTGAAAATTCCTTCAACGATCAAAGCATTCTGACTATTCTCATCATACACATTCGCAATTCCTATTCCAATCGCTATTCCCATTGGAGTTGTCAGAGCAAAGAACAATACCATGGTGGCTATGGTTTTGTTCTTGAATTTGGCCTGTAATAATCAGAACATTGCAAGGTTATACATATGATATACTACAAGACTTTATACAGAACATAGTAAAGTAACTTACCTGAGTGATACAACTTCCAAGTCCCATGCCCTCAAAGAATTGATGAAAGGTCAAAGCAGCAACAAGTGGCTTTATGACTTGAGCACCCCGAGATGCTCCCAAAGAAATTCCTATTATCACTGAATGCACTATGATCCCCATCTCCAATACCTTCATATTTACGATTAATTCATTCCACGTAAGTGTTTTCCGACTTAGAGCCAAAAAACACTCAGAAACACTAACATATATACCTGTGATATGACTCTCTGACGAAGGAGTTGATGAGAAGAACTAGAAGAATCCGATAATCCATGACTGTGATCATGATCTTGGCCTCTAGTTCCCGCACTTTTCTCTTCGTCTCCGTCGGCTTCAATATGCCCATTCTTCATATTAAGTCTCTTGAAATATGCAGTGGCGAAAGCGTCCACCATTAGTGTTCCCATGGCAGCACACATAGATACAAAGCCAGTGAAGGGAAAATCACCCCATGGATGTTCACTCAAGCAAGGAGAAGTCAAGCTCTCGAATGCGTCAGGAAAGACATGAGTGAATCCGGTGGATAGTATCACACCAGCCGCGAAGGCCCTGATCATGAAAAAGATGTCCTTCTCGGGACTTAATGCCGGCGTGAACTTTCCGAGGACTGGAATCAGAACTCCGATTGCACTCGCAAAGAGTATAGAAGCTAGGGCTGCTGTTTTGTACTCGAGAGCCTCAGCTTTGTCATGAACTTCGTCTTCTTTGTCACATGTGCACTCTGAAACAGCTAGGGCTGGAAGGACTAGCAAGAGGAAGGCCAAGAAAGTGTAGATTTTGGTGCTTTTCGCCATGGCCTTTGAAAAGATGCAAGCCGTGGTTTTCAACAGAAGTAAATGTTCGGGTATAAATTATTAATATTTATATTTGAAAAATGAATGATAAGGAGGTTAGCGAATATATCAGCAGCTTATTTTTATTTTATATGACAAACTATTTAATTATTTATTACATTTGAATAATGTTGAATTTAAGAACATTTAAAATTTGAATATAACTTCTCCAACCCGAAAATCTAGTTACTATCATAACTTCCCAACGTTTTAAAAAAGAATAACTTCAATATTTTAAATTTAAAATTCATTGCATAAAAAGTAAAAACTCTTTTATTTATGGGATATATTATAAGTTAATTATTATATAAATTACATTAGAAGAAAAATTTTCAAACGTTTTAGAAAAAATATTTAAAAACTATTCCAACAATTATCTCCTGTCCAAACAAATTATCAAAGCTCATTAACATGAAAAAAAAATCAAAGAATACACCTAATTTCACACAATTTGGCCCAAGAAAAAAAAGTTTTCACGCAAATTTAATTTCATTTTGCGTCAACTATTCAAGGTATTTTTTATGTTTCAACCAAAATGAAATCGTCATTTTATTATCGTTTTCTAAACAAGATGTTCATATACCGTGGGGAAAATAAGTAAATAACAGAATTTGCGTTTTATCAAGATATCCAAAAAGTGAATCACTAGTGAGTGACGACATCCTGGATGCTATGATGTTCGCATGTATGATGATTTAACAAATTAAAAAGCTTGTATTTGACGGAGAAAGACAGAAAATAGTGGATGATTTAATGCTAATACAGAATACATGCGATAGAGAAAAATTAACAGAATATATCAAGCGTTCAAGTGCGTCCATAAATCACTCTAATGTCGACATGTTCGTGCTGTACGATAACGAATAAAATAATCAATTTTTCCTATGTTGGAATAAGTCAAATTTCATTTATCGTGTTGACTGTTGATAGTCATTACTTTTGAAATACAATATAAACTTTTTAAATGAATGTATATTTGATTGGCACGAAATTGATATTTTTAACATAGAGCAGTTTACCTCAAACTTCTTTATTTTTGAATAGTGCTGAAATCTGTTACAGAACTAACAGTTACAAACAAAGCAATGGAAAGGGGAAAAAAAAAACAAGAAACAAGAGAGCACAACCTAGCGCCGTTTTGATTTCTATTCTTATTTTTTGTTTTTAAAAACTGTGTACAATACAATTTTTAAAATTATTTAAAAAAAGAAAATATGTTTGTTTGTATTAATTTAAAAACGATTTTAGAACTAAAAACTATTTAATAGTGATCGTTACCAACTGCTAATAGTGATGGCTTATGATAATTATTGGTTAATGTAACTATAATTTTCAAATAATTAAATATAATGTAACTATAATGTATTCCAAACAATTGTTCTAATTTTTTTAAAAAATTATTTTTGAAAACAGAAACCAAACAGCCCCTAATCTCCAGCATCATTATCCATCTCTGAAAAAAGAGATGGTGGTTGATCTATGATGCAAAATTAAATATCTGAGTTAAGGGAAATCCTAGCTATCATATGAGCATGCTCAAGGTCTTCCCCGTACAAATGGTTTACCACAAACTTAAAAAATCTGTCACAAACCTTTCAATATTTTAAAATATTAGCTTTATAATTTCTATTGGTCCCTAAGAAAGTAGTCTTTGACGTTATTGTTTATAACCACAAGTGTGGTTTTCTACTGTTTTAAGGTTTTTGTTAGAATTTAATACATTACTGCAGTGATTGGCTAAAACAAAAATAATAAGAAGGAAACAAAATTGTAAAGAGAAAATAAAGAAAAGAGAAAATTAGAGGGATGTGATTTTCTCTCCTTATACTCCCTCCGTTTTTTATATATAAGAAAAAAAAAACTGTATCACACAGTTTAAGAAAGTTAACCATAATAATTATGTCTAAAAATAAAAAAATTAGACTAAAATGCCCTATGTTAATCAACATAAGCATACATTAATTTTCTTTCATTAATGTATATTATAAGGGGTGATTTAAAAAATGTGTAATAAATACTTATTAAAATATGTAATTTTGCTAATATAAAAAAATAAGTAAAAAGTGATAATTTCTCTTACAAATAGAAACCAAATAGTACTTGGCTAAGAGACAATAGGGAGAAAGAAAATAACTCTATTATTTGTAGAAAATATTAGATATGATAAAATTTAAAATTTTAACATATTATTTATATAATTTTCATTATATTAGAGGATGAATATGTAATTTGAACCATGAATTATAGACTCTTATTTAATACATTTTGAATTTTAAATAATTAAAGTTAAAACAATTTTGCCCCCATTGTTAAATTAAAGTAAAGGTCTGTTATTTTTTAAAAAAATGGAGTCTAATGTGTACTTTTCTCCTACCCTCCATTGAGTAAAATTGCATATCAAACCCCATTTTTTCAAAAAGTAATCAACATTTAACTGTGGAGGCAAAACTACACTAAATTTAATTGTTTAAAATTGAAAATGTACCAAATAAGAATTTAAAGTTTAAATTGTCCTTTGACCTATAGTTCTGTCTACCTTTGAATTGTGGCCATTGATGTAATTCTTTTAAATAAATTTGTTTTAATCATAGATTTGATAAATGGTCATAATTGAGAAGTTGAAAAAAAAGGAGGGTAAATAAATGGAGAAACGCCTCTCTCATGTGAAAGAAGCTTTGATTATTGAATGCCAGAAATTAATAGTATTTTATTTTATATTTAATTTAAATTTTAGGCATAGTTGAAGAGATGGGTTTGGATCCAGTTTCATCAGGCCCAATATGTTTGTTATGAATTTAAACAGATGTTTCTCAACAAACAAATGGATATAAAATCTGGTTATATCATTTCAGGAATAATTCAGAGCAGTCCATAACGAGAAATACCTAGAAAACATAAAGTTCATTCTAACATCATAGTATAAATGAATCACAACATAGGGTATTTAGAAGGAAATCAGAGAAAAAGAACAGCAAAACCACAAGTGGTCCAGAGAGGAAGAAATGAGAGAGAGAAGACAATCCACAATTTCTGCTCACGCACTACTCTGCCATAACAGAATATATATACTCAATCATTCTCCCCTCAGCTTCCAAGTGGCACGCCGCATCCGTGTGCTCCTGCGTAAGCCTTCATCCCTCGTGGTTCCCTTAGAATTGTTTCCTAATTTGGGTTCTTGGGCTTTTGTTGCGTGGGCCTTCTCACTATGTGTCATGACATTGAAGTCCTTAATGTCTATTTGTAAGTGGTCATTCTTTTGTATTTAATTTTTAATGGTCTAAACTTGTTTTAAATAAACCCAAAACGAATTTTTAATTATTTTTTAAGTTTTAGGTGCCGTTATTTGATTAAATATGGCATATTAGGATTTAGTCAATTATTTATTTAGGAGTCAGCTTAAAAAGCCCAGTATCTATTGAATTTATTGAAATTAGATCAAATCTGATTTGAATGAATTCTAAATCACCATATGCAATTTTAATATTCACCGTATCCCTCTAATGTCCTTTAATATTTTAAACCACTAAATCTGATTTCACCTAACCTAAGATCTTTGTCTTAACCTTGTCACTTTCCTTTTCCTAATCAGATTATTGGGCTTTAGGGCTTTTAGGGTTTCCAGTTAGTCTAGAATCTTATTTTCTATTTAAAGACAATTGATGTACAATTTTTTTTTTTGGCAGATTTTATAAAAGAGTTTATTCAGCAGACTTTAGGGTGAGGTTCATATATTAAGTAATTGACTTAAGATGTTGATCGACTCTTGGGTTCCTGTATCTGGAGTTTTTGAGCCATTGTTTCCATTGGGTGCGGGTATTCCCAATCGTTTTTGGAATGCGTGTTCATTAGGTTTCTAATTTCAAGATCACTATTTTCTTTTCTTTTTTATTGATATTCTTCACTTTTTTTTTTTTTGCCTTGTTTCTAACCAATTCCTAGTTTCTAGCTTTTCAGGACAAATTCTTATTGAAATTTGTTTTTTAACTTAATATTATATAAAAATAATTGATAGTTGTTAATCATAAGTAATTTAAAAAATATTACTTTTGATTCTATTATTAGTTTTATAAATAATATATCTTAAATGACAATAATTATAATTTTTTCAAAGAATTTTTTATACATCTTTCAAAAAAAAATTGTACAAGTTTTTGGAGTCAATCGAGCCCAACCTGAACAGCATACCCAGTCTGGGCTTGTCCATATGCAACTCTATCACATATTATAAGTTATCCTTTCACCCATTTTTTTATATTTAAAAATACCACTATAGCATCCTTAAATGTTAAAGGAGATTCGTTCTCAAATCGACCCATATTCCAACGGACAATTAATAGAGCATTCCCAAAGAAATTACGTCTTGAGATTTTCATCTATCAAGAATAGTGAATGTTGATCTTGTTAGGTATATTATATTATATTTACATAAACATTGATTTAAATCTAATATATCAATTTAAGATATCATTGTAATAACATATCTTGAATGTGGCCCAAATCAGCTGATTGTATTTATGTTTAGAGATTTGATTGGTCCAAATTAAATGATAAAATAACCTCCATGATGAGTTATAAATAGAGGTGTAACACAGAGGTTCCTGACTATTGACAGCTCTTTCCATAGACTACTAGTCAGGAGAATCCCTCTCCCTTGCCAAGTTATAATGAGTCAGATGACGCAAATGGAGAAAAAGAGAAAGGAAATGAGCGAAGAAACGATCAAATTGGAAGAAAATCGCTACGTAACGCCAAATACTACAATTTGCAACGGTGAGTGAATACTTTTACACTGTAAACTATTTTTGTTTTGTGGTTTAGTATAACTTTTTATTTTTAGAAAAACATGCAATTTCAAGTTGGGTCTAGCCTTGGTTCAATCAAATTAACCTCGTTCGAGATTACTCTTGCCAACACCGAGCTCATGTGCATCTCTATAATATGGTTAACAAATAAGATATTATAATCATTGAAGGCCAAAAATTGGGGGGGGGGGGGGGAAGCATTAAGAACGAAATTATATATTAACGCCTTGGTCTCACGGCAAACGAAAACATTCTAACGTCGTCTCTGATATGCAGGAATATTAAGATCAAAGAGAGGGCAGAGACCTGCTCACTACATGCTTAGGATAAATTCATATTCAAAACTGGCTGTTACTAAGCTTGAAAGTTATGAATCTGATGTATTTGAAGCTGGTGGTTTCAACTGGTGAATTATATCTATCACTCCCTCTCTATGTTAATTGTGCATTATAATATATATAGATATATATATATATATATATACGTTTTTCTTTCCATATTTATGGCAAAATCTGTGTCTACTTATCAGGAGGATGGTTGTCTATCTTCGTGGAAAGAATCAAGTCAGAGATCAGCATATATCAATGTACTTGGCAATCGCAAACGTGAGGAACTCAATGCTGTTCGAGAAGTCTTTGTCCATTTCAAGTTTTTTGTTTACGATCAAATACGTGATCAGTACTTGGTCATTCAAGGTAATTAGCTCCCTCTATGATGGGAACAAAAGACATAATAAAAAATATTGAATATTTGAAAAGGATATCAAAGATTTGAAAGATCGAATATATTTTCTTTAATTGTCACATTTATTTTATTTTTAATTGTCGTTATTGTTATCTATCAATATTTATTGTTATCTTTTCATTTAATTTTAGAATTTTAAAAATATTCTTTCATTTATTTATCTCAACTCATTTGTTTTGTACATGTATATTATTAAATAAGAATTGCTATTCTATTGCTTCATTTGTAAGATTCCCTTCTCCCTATATTTTCTCTATTCCCTTTCTCTCTTTTTTCTATTCTCTTCTTTCTTTCCCCTGCCCCCTTCTGCATCACTCTCTCTATGTGTGTTGTTGTTAACTTAGCATTAGCAACCCTTGATTTCCAACCCCCCCCCCCCACTTGAATTATTGCAGATGTAGAGAATGAGTTGAAACGTTTTCATGCGGGGAAGACACAGTGGGGTTTTGATGAACTGCTTCCTATGGATACATTCAAAGACGTTGCTAATGGATATCTTGTTGACGATTCTTGTGTATTTGGAGCTGAGGTCTTTGTTGTTCAGTGTTCTGGAAATTGGGAATGTCTTACAACACTGGATAACAAATTTAAGGATTCATATACATGGAAGTTGTCTAAATACTCGCAGATTGTGGAGGAATTTTGTGAGTCCGAAGCATTCTCTATTAAAGGCAAAACATGGTAAAAAAAAAAAAAAATCATTTTGCTTAGTTTTTACCCCCCGAATCTTCATAAATTTTTTAACGCTAATGTTCTGTTTTGTGTTTTAATTTGTAATTAAGGAAGCCGAGAGTTTATCCCAGAGGTGATAGGTCTCCCAAAAACGAGTTTCTGTCCATGTTTTTGGTCTTGAATGAAGATGAAAGCCTGGTGGCAAGAAAGAAATGGTTCGCCGAGTACACATTACGCCTTAAGAATCAATCTGTACCATCGAGAACTCGGGAATTGAATGGTACTTTTCAACATCTTTATCCCACGAATGTTTATATTTATATTTGTAGGGATCATTCAATTTTTTTGAGCGTTATTAATTGGTTGTTTTGGATGTTGCAGTTGCAGCATGGCTCAGTCAACGGACAAATACATGGGGATTCAGTCAATTCATGTCGCTAAAGGATCTTAATGAAGATACTCTGATTATCGAATGCCAGATCACTTGCCTAAGTGAAGTTGAGCATTTCAAACAATGACACACAACTGTTATGTTTGATTATAATGAACACTCCCACTTCCTTTTGGGTAAAGTAGTAGTAAATTAAACTTCATAGTCTGGATTTTGTGCTTGTGTTGTGCTTGATCGTTAGTACAGTTAAATTTTTGTTTTGAAACTTCAATCAATGAGATATTTAATGGAAGATATACATATTGTTTAGTACAGAATGGCATTATTTGCTGGATAGTTTTTTATATGATGATGATGATGATGATGTTATAATTATAATTATTTATGTTTATAATCACAATCTTATTTAATGGGTAATTGTTAATTATCTGTTTGTTTTGTTTGTTTTGACTTCAATTTGTAACTTTAAATGGATGGAGACTAATGCTTTTAAATTTTAATATTTAATTCAAATAAATATTTTGAGTTTGATTATTTGTTGGTTAATCGTTTGTGTTTCGTCCATTTTCCTCATCGATAATTTATATTTATAGAACAGTTTGTGGAGGTGTTTCTCTGTTAGATTTTGCTGTGTCATTTTTTGAACTGCTCACCTTTCTGTTTTGTTGGTTGATATGTTTATGGACTTTATTACTTGCTAGTGTCGGTCTGGCTTTTGTTGGAGTTGACTTTTCTAAGGAGTTGTGGAGTTTGGACCGTCTGGAAAATTAAAAAAATTATATAAGTTATAAAATTTTTTTTATAAATCTGTTCACCTATATAGATAGTTTCCATTTAATATGAATTATTCACATTTAATATTTAATATTTTATAAATTGACTTTTTAGATATATTTTGAAAGTGTAGGTTTAATATTAATTTTTTATAATTTTTATAAATTAAATGTGAACAATTCATATTAGATTTGAATTTTCTAGAATGATAGAATTTAATAAAAATTTTTACAATTTATATAATTTTTTAATTTTTAATTTAAAAAATAAAAATAAAAAATATTAAATCTAAACCAATCAGCCTTCTCATATCCTCAACAAATGAACTCAGTTTTTGCTTGAGTCAGGTAGGTTTTGTTTGTTTTGAATATTTGTTTTCTTTCCTTATAAAACTTTGTTTAAGTTCAATCATATTTTATATCTTTTATCGTTTTATAAGAAATTGTACACGTTTCAAAAGGATTAGTTAATTATTTTTCTTATACAGTTAGTAATAATTATATCAAGAATTAATATTATACTATTTAATAAACATTACTTTTTTTTTGGCCTGAAATTTAATAAACATTATTCAAGGTTACTTTGAAGAATAAAATTGAAATTGTTAAATGTCTTTAATGAAAAGGTGTGGAGGGAGTAGCACGATTAGCTTGCACAAGTCTGCGCTATAATGAAGTTAAATTAAACTTTTAACGTGAGTGATAGGGATATGGATCATATGCAGTAGGAATAGTAAAGTAGATGGGAAGTGGGCTCATCTTATCCATTCATTTCATCTAATGGTTGGGAAGAAAAGGATGTAGGAAAGCTTTATTATTTGCAAAACACTCAAACTTTTTCTATACTTAAGAGTGTTGACTTTTTTTACTGTTGAAATTAGAAATAAAAAAATTTTCATTAGTTAAATAAGTACGATTTTTTTATATATTTTAAATATTTTTTTAACATTTTTCATAATTTTTAAGATTTAAATTATAAATTTTTTATTGTTAAAAAAATTCATTAGATAGAATAGGTACAATCTTTGCAAAATATTTAAATTAAATTTTTTATAATTTTTTAAGATTTAAATTGAGAAGTAAAATTTTTTATGTGAAAATAAAAAATAAAAATAATTTTTTTAAGGAAAATAGTCAATAATATTAGTAAAAGTTAAAAGTAAATATATACAAAACATTAAGGAAGGGACACTTGTAGAGGAAAAAAAAACACGAACGATTTCTTCAGAATATTTAAAGTATCATAAATAATTTTTATAATTTAAATTGTGAAGTAATTTTTTATTATAGAAAAATTTTGAGCGTTTTGCAGATAATAAAGCTTTCCATGTATCCTTTTCTTCCCAACCATTAGATGAAATGAATGGATAAGATGAGCCAACTTTCCAATTTCCATCTACTTTACCATTCCTACTGCATATGATCCACATCCGAGTGATAGAAGTTCTTGTCACTTAATTAAAAGAAATCTAACAATAATTCTTATAATTTTGGAGGAGATATTTTCTGTTGTTATTGGTAGAGTTTACTCCATATGCTTATTAAAAAAATAAATCTTAAATATCTAGTGACGGACCTAAATAGATTTTTTTTTTGGCCAAACCTAAAATAAATTTATTAGTGGAGATAAAATTTGCACGTAAGATAATTATTAATGTTTTCTCAAGAATATATTTTTTTTTATGGAAAGAGTGGTGGGCAGATGAAGTTATTGTTGGGATAAAAAAATGTCTCAGGAAAATCTATATTCTCCATATTTTCCTTTGGTCTGTCTAAATAATTTAAATTTTAAGTCCTAATTGGTAAATCAATTACATTGAAGGCAAATTTAAGTTAACCAGCCAAACCCAAGAATTTAGTCATTTTCCATCCTTGCATTTTCCTTGTCTCATATTTCAGCCAAACCAAATGAGGCGTTAGGTATCCTAGTCATAATTTACTTATTACACACGTGTGCGCACACATTACTATATTAATATATAGTATTAGCTTGATTTTAGGGGTGTGCCAGGCATGTTAGAGGAGTGTGTTCTCAAAATTATGAGTTGGATCAAACGATCAAGTGGGTTTTCAAAGTCCTTCATCACAATTTCTTTGGAAAGCCAAGTGCATGCAAAAAATAGAAAGTGCGTTAAGTGATGCTTAAGGCTGAATTGTATTACAAATGATTTAATACAATGGATGCTTTGTGGATATGAAGGGACAGACACAACTAGCCTAGGAAGCCAAGCTTATATAGATGAAGTAGTTTTCCTTGAGAGATGTTGATGGATGTGAGGTTAAGATTGGTGTTTTGTACTTGGCAAATCTTATATAAGTTTGGCAGAGTGTCAAGAATCCTTTAGTCATGCGCTCATTGCCTGTTTACAAAAAGTGACAAACATTACACTCCTTTTGAATTCAAGTTTGGCACCACAAAGGAGTAAATTTTTGCCCGTGCCATTTTATAATCAAAGGTATGCCTTGTCATGCAAAGTAAGGAGAGAGTGTGTGCCGAGATAGTCGAGTAATAAGAAACGTGGGCAAGACTGCATCATTAACTACTTAAACAAGGCGTTATCTTGCCTATGTGAAATTGGCTTGTTGTTAAGTTGTATCCTTCTTTGAATTGGATTAGGTTTCTGCCAATTTTCCTTTAGACCCAATAGACCATTTTTAGTCCAAACAATTACCCCCTCATGATCGATGTTTCAGTGCCAAGGGAGAGAAATAGCTACATATGCTTTAGCTTTTCCATATTCTACAATCCATATGTCAAGCTTGGATATGGGCAATGATTGCTCCACACATGTTTCTAGTACACTACCATCATTTTCCTAAGTGCTCTTCTTGCTTAGGTTGTAGAACCATATTTAAACTCTTGGCTTCTCTTCTCCTCACTTTACTCTTTTCTTTGGCTTTCTTTATTCTCCCACGATTTCTTCCAACAATTCTTAGAACTTACGATGTCCTTAGCTTGCAATGGTTTCTTCATCTTCCGTCGTTGCTAATGAGGTAAGCCAAGTTTTTTTATTGTTCCAAGATTCAGAAACTATCATAAGGTTTGATCTAACCTTGATTTCCCAACTCACTTTTCAAGGTGCCACTATAATATTTTTGGCTGCTAGCAATACTTTGCTTTGCAACCGTTCTGAAAATGTTGCCTTATGTGTATATAAGGAACATTTTCTAAGCATTGCAATTGACGCTACTTTAAGCAAATATATTTGATAACATTTGAAAAGTATTGCTTAACATAGGATAGGTAACACTTTTAAACTGTTGAATTACATTTTTCAAATAGACAATATTAGAACTATTGTTTATAAAATAACTTTTTTCATAACATTTAAGAATTGTTCCATTTTCTAATAAGCAACAATTATATAAATGTTGCTTTTAAATGTTTCTTTTGGCAACATTTAATAACCGTTGCGTATTATATTTTTATATACAAAACAATTTACTTTTAAACTTAATATTTTTTGTTATACTTTTATTAATTAAATAATTAATTGATTGATTTATTAAATTATTAATTAGTTAAATTAAAAAGTAACTTTAAAAATTATCAACATATAAAATAATTTGCATCAAATGACTTGATAATGGCTTTGGAAAAGTGGTAAGAGTTATTCCTTAATTCATTGAGGTTTGGGGCTTGAATACTAGGTATGGACAGAAATTTTAATTTTTTTTCCTATTTTACATATATGCAATAGTTCTTAATTGTTGCCAATAACTATATGATATACAACATTCAAGAACTATTGCAATAGGTTGATATAAGAACTATTGCTTATTACTAAAATATATGTAATAGTTCTTGAAATGTGTAGCAATAGAAAGCAAAACTGTTGCCTTTTATCATAAGTAACACTGGAACATGCATAAATTCAAAAATGTTGCCTTTAGCTTTTGACAATAGTTTTAATGCTTGTTTTTAGCTTTTGACAATAGTTTTAATGCTTGTTTTTAGCTTTTGACAATAGTTTTAATGCCTTTGGCTACAATTTTCAATTGTTGTTATAAGAAAAAAATAATGTTGTGAGTTTTCTCTCAACGCTTTGCTCACACATTTAGTTTGAGTAAGTATTCACCTTTTTATTAAGGCTTTCCTTGTCTTTATGAACAAGCCATTGGCTTTCTAACTAAATTTGGATTTTTCACTTACTTCAATTGATCCTCTGTTTGATTTAGGTTAGGGCCTTAGCTCTTTTATTGCTATTTGCTATTCTTGTAAGTGTTCTCGTTGTTTTGTCTTCTAATAGTGATCACTTTGGCTAGCCTAGTCATAAATCATTTCCCCATTATTGCCAATAATCTCTTGATGACCCTTCCAATCAAGAAAGGGCCAAGGATTTTTCAGGACGCAACCTAGATCTATATATTGCTGAGGCTCCTCATCTAACTATTACTAGTATGCATTCAGTGCTTCATTATGTACGTGACTTATTATGATTGGACTTGC